CTGTCCTGTTCCGGCCAAGGAGGCCGTCTATGAACTCTCTGCTTGTCCTGTTCCAGCCATGGAGGCCGTCAATTAACTCTTTGCCTGTTTTGTTCCGGCCAAGGAGGCCATCTATGAACTCTCTGCTCGTCCTGTTCCGGCCAAGGAGGCCGTCTATGAACTCTCTGCTCGTCCTGTTCCAGCCATGGAGGCCGTCAATGAACTCTCTGCCTATTCTGTTCCAGCCAAGGAGGCCGCCGATGAACTCTCTGTCTGTTCTGTTCCGGCCAAGGAAGCCATCTATGATCTCTCTGCTCGTCCTGTTCCGGCCACGGAGGCCGCCTATGAACTCTCTGTCTGTCTTGTTCCGGCCAAGGAGGCCGTCAGTGAATGATCTGCCTGTTCTGTTCCGGCCAAGGAGGTCGTCTGGGAACTCTTTGTCTGTCCTGTCACGGCTATAGAGGCCGTTTACAAACTCCCTGCTTGTCCTGTCACGGCCATGGAGGCCGTCGGGGAATCCTCATCCTGTCCTGTCATGGTAATGGAGGCCGTTTGTGAACTTTTGTCTTGTCCTGACCCAGCCAGGGAGGCTGCCCCTGAACGCTCAGTCTTGTCTATCAACCCCAATGTTCTGTCTGTGTTGTCTGTCTCTGCTCTCTCGTTGTTACAGTCGCCGCCATGGTCGGTGACCTACGCTAGCCCTGGGACTATTCTTGTGTTTTGCCCGCCATATACCTCTTTGCCTGTAACCCCGTTACAGAAATTCACAGGTAGCCGAGTTTCGTCAGGGTTGGAGCTAAACTCTGCAGCGCATTGGCCCTCCAGGGCAAGATTTGAGGAACCCTGTTCTATTCGAAGAACCCTGAAAAACGTTTCATGGTTTCCACTAAAACACAACTGCAGCACAACTGTTTTCAACATTAAATAATAAGGAAATGTTTCTTGAGCAGCAATCAGTATATTAGAATGATTTCTGAAGGATCATGTGACACTGAAGACTGCAGTAATGACTGCTGAAAATTCAGCTTTGCAATCACAGGAATGAATTACATTCTAAAATATATTCAGAAAGAAAATGCTTTTTTAAAATGTAATAATATTTCACAATATTACTGTTTTTTTACTGCATTTTGATTAAATAAACATTAAAACAAATATTACTGACCCCAAGCTCTTAAATAGGAGTGGCCAAATCAAATAGATAAACATGTAAAGTTTTTGTGCTTAGCAAATATTAAAATCACTCAAGGAAATTTTTTTTATACAGTCACAGGCATGTCATGCAATTGAATGCTGGTTATAAACATACACTTATTTAAAAATGTTTGACTGCTGTGTGATTGACCAATCCGAATCAAGTATTTCAGACATATTCATACTGATACCTTATCTGCTGAATAGCATCCCAGCTTAGTCTTCTCTCTGGGGCTCCAGGATTGTTCATTTTCCTCTTGATGATGTGAAACTTTGCTGCTTTACGCCTTTTCTTCTCTTCACTGCACAGGAAATAATGTTAATGCATGAAGACAGCATTTGCTTTTGTGCTTCTGTATAAGGACTCACCTAATAATAGAGTTCATTTTGGCTTCTACTGCATCCATATCATGGTCATCTTCAAACATGTCTTCCTGTTGTCTCTGTTTTGGATGAGAATCAGGATACCTCTGTGACATCCACCCGTATGCGCCTCGACTAGCATGCCGACAAACCTGGCAAGCAGCAGGTCCTGGGAGAGGGGCCAGTTTGGTGGCCAACATATGGGCCATTCTCCACGGGGTGCCCATTCTGTACAGTCAGAGAAACAAAGACAGAGACATCTAAAATTGCAATTGAATCCAATATAAAAAGGAATGTTTATCAAATAATATCTATAATTCTATAATAAGAGTCTGATGAAAAGTCTGAAGAAAAGAGTACACTGAAAGTAAAGGATTGTTTTTTTGTGCACTTGTTAGTTTTGAATTTGCATCTGTAGATTTCAATTACAATACATATACAATACATTCTCAAAGTTTTTCTCATGCACTGCTATTTCTTTACTGGCTGTTGACAGTTTCTGATTTATAAAGTAATAAAAAAAGGGATATCCAGAAATCACTCTGTAAAACCCTTAAACCTTTAGCAAAATAATAATAATAATAAAATAATTTTAAACCTAGTTTTATGCAATCTTCAGATTTCTCTTCTGTAAACGTATGCAAATTGGTGCAGATGAATTGTATAATGCATCATATGCATTTTTAAACATTGCATTTCAGAAAAATTGTAAAACGAAACAATTGCCATAATGTATTGTGATTAATCAACTGGGAAAGTATGGTAAGAATAAGATCTATAATTTTTTTTATTTTTACCCTATTCATCTGTGGTGTTTCAAAATACTAAAAAACACGTTATTTCATAAAATAAAATTTGTAAAACAGAGCATTTCAATTTCATTTCATCTGCGTTATTTCTACATCACTTATCGAACAAAAGCTAATGTATATAATTGAGCATTTAAATTTCCCTTCACTTCAAAAGTCAAATTTACCGTACTGTTTTTCATAACTCGAACTTTGGTCTTATACAACGATAAAAAAGGGATATCCAGAAATCCCTCTGTAAAACCCTTAAACCTTTAGCAAAATAATAATAATAATAAAATAATTTTAAACCTAGTTTTATGCAATCTTCAGATTTCTCTTCTGTAAACGTATGCAAATTGGTGCAGATGAATTGTATAATGCATCATATGCATTTTTAAACATTGCATTTCAGAAAAATTGTAAAACGAAACAATTGCCATAATGTATTGTGATTAATCAACTGGGAAAGTATGGTAAGAATAAGATCTATAATTTTTTTATTTTTACCCTATTCATCTGTGGTGTTTCAAAATACTAAAAAACACGTTATTTCATAAAATAAGATTTGTAAAACAGAGCATTTCAATTTCATTTCATCTGCGTTATTTCTACATCACTTATCGAACAAAAGCTAATGTATATAATTGAGCATTTAAATTTCCCTTCACTTCAAAAGTCAAATTTACCGTACTGTTTTTCATAACTCGAACTTTGGTCTTATACAACCATATTATTTTTACCCTATTCATCTGTGGTGTTTCAAAATACTAAAAAACACGTTATTTCATAAAATAAAATTTGTAAAACAGAGCATTTCAATTTCATTTCATCTGCGTTATTTCTACATCACTTATCGAACAAAAGCTAATGTATATAATTGAGCATTTAAATTTCCCTTCACTTCAAAAGTCAAATTTACCGTACTGTTTTTCATAACTCGAACTTTGGTCTTATACAACCATATGATATAATGTCAAACACTATGTGAACACATTTTGTAAACAGTGCCTGTAAAACACTCACATGTCCCTCTGCTCTTCTTTCACGGTGACATTACACCGGAAGCATATAGTTTAACCACGCATGCGCACCGGTCATTCGATTCTTTCCGACTCGGATCGTTTCCACTCGGCAAAACTCGGCTCCGTTCGCCGATCACATGCCTCAAGCCTGCCCCTTTCTTCTCTGTGTGGCTCATTTTGCGCCATTTTGTCCGCACCACTGTGTTGATTGGGTTTTTGAGATCTGTAGTGGAGCCAATCAGAAGGGTACCGGACAACCGGAGAAACGGTAAAGGGTTGCGCTTGCTCTAAGGGAAATGGTAGCTGACAACACGGATTGGTTTGTCAGTGACCAACCAAATGACTAATTCTGAAAAATACAGAAATCAAATCGGTTAATGCGAGAGGGAATGAGCGCAAACGCAAACACTGGACATGAATGATACTGTTAGTGCAGTCCAAGACAAAGACAGACCTGCTAATGTCTGTGAAATATGGGGCTGTTTTTGGGCTAACAGTTCATTAAAGAGCAGGTTGAATTTCAGCCCATTTTAATGACCTTGGTTTGCTCATAATAAGGGGTAACGTAAATGTTGTTTGCCAAACAAACCACCTAGAATTGGTTTGTGAAATGATTCGAAAATGTATATTATTTAGACCTTGTTAACTTTTCAGCCCTTAACTGTATGTGTAGATAAAAACATCGCACATGCCCTAAGTAGGTAATATAAGATGCTGTACATAATAATGTTAAGCACCTTCAACAAAGATACAGATTCAGTCTCAAAATTCACCTGGCTACTGGCCCAAACCTGCAGTTAGGGACAACATCAGACCTCGTTTGTTTTCATAGAAATCTACTAGTTGTGGTTATACTGAGTAATAAGTGAATAACTTTTTTAAATGGTTTTATGACAAATTAGGTGAGGAAGGAGAAATGGAGCAATATACTGCTACAACCAGTGGAGATCAGATAGTGGTGCAAGCTGCCAATGGGCAAATCCAGCAGCAGGTAAGAGCCAATGTAAACCGGTTGCTGTTTAATCAGTTACTTTTAATATGGAAAAAATTCCTTGAGTGTGGTTTTTATTTGTTTTTCTATGCATTTTTAAACTGATCTAAATTGTCAATTTTACTGTGTATCAGGTGCAGTAGTATTTTTAAAATAACATGAGAGAATTCTGCTTCAGGAAGTGGTTTCCAATTCTAGGAAAGGACTGGGTAAATAGTTCTTGTAGTGGCCTACAGTCTCTCTCCTTTGAAATTAACTTTCTCGTTCCTGATAAAAACAAGGTTTATGTGACAGAAAGCACACCCAGTGTGTTTTGCAACATGCTTTTAAACAGAAATGTGAGTCAGAAAGAAAATGTGTTTTTCTTTGAGGTATATATATATATATACACACATACATACATACATACTGTATTGTCATATTGCTTACTTGTCCTGATAAAAACAAGGTTTATGTGACAGAAAGCACACCCAGTGTGTTTTGCAACATGCTTTTAAACAGAAATGTGAGTCAGAAAGAAAATGTGTTTTTCTTTGAGGTATATATATATATACACACACATACATACATACATACTGTATTGTCATATTGCTTACTTTCTTAAAGCATGCTACTGGTCTTGCTGTGAACAATTTATTAGTACATGTTATTCTATTGAAAACTAATTTTGAATCAAAATGTAGTAACCTTTTCTTTCTCTGTAATAACTTTCTTTTTTCACTGAAAGGTTCCACCAAGTGACTGGTAAATTTCCCAAAATGTATAGTTTGAATGAAAACAACAACAACAACAACAATAATAATAAAGTCAAATAAAAATTAATTAATTAAAAAATAAATAAGTAAATAAAAAATACTGGAAGATTTTGCTCCTCCTATTAAGAAAGTTGCTAAACTCTTAGGAAGCATAAAATAAGGGACACAAACAATAGCAGTGCATTTAGTAGTACTGTAAGAGATGATGCAGAGCAAGGTGTGATGTGGGGATGTCCACAGGCTCATGGCACCGTAACAGCAGTACAGCTGCAAACAGAAGCACCCGTCGCTACAGCTACAGGCCAGCAAGTGCAGGCGCTCCAGGTAGTTGTGTGAACTCCGACCTTCAGGCTTGTGATGTTGCATGCGTCATGTCACACTGTCTGTGAGGATGTGAGCTCATCCAGCATGACTTGCTTTTACTTACAACAAATCATGATCCGGGTCGTCCAGTGAGCTTTCTGCCATGTTCCATATTGCCTGTGGCTTCAAAGCTACTGCTCAGGAGTATTCACCTCTTTTAATGGGAAATCCCATTTAAGTTGGATTCACCTCTTTTAATGTGTCTGGAACAGAATTTATAAAGAAGAGCTTGTAGAATAGCTGTGGAGACAGTACTATAAGATAACTTGGTGTTTGTCTTCAGTGTGTGTTGCACGTTATAACCACTTCACACTGATCAAACACATATGAGTTCACAGCACTGTATGGATCCAACTTTTGAGTGGATTCTCACTATGATCATGTTTGTGTAAAAATACAAACATGGAATGGAAATCGATCTACCTCATGACAGCCGTTACCACCAGCCCAAATTATAGGGCCCTTATTAATTAGTATTATTTATTATAAATTAACCTGTAAAACATGGCTGGATTTTTCAGGTTCCATAATAAATGTTGCCATATACCCTGTGTAATGCCTACAGCTGCATGTGCAGCTCTAATATTGTGTTGATGATTATCTATATCTGATCCTTTGGCCCCATGCTAACATTCAGTGTATGTGTGCGCTCAGGTCCAGGGTCAGCCGCTGATGGTCCAGGTGAGTGGCGGGCAGCTGATTACTTCCTCAGGTCAGCCCATCATGGTACAGGCCATGTCTGGAGCTCAGGGCCAGACGATCATGCAGGTGCCCATGTCTGGAGCTCAAGGGCTTCAGCAGGTAAGTGCAACTCTCCTCGTCAGTGTGGGGAAAGCTACTTCAATAGATTAATAGATTGTCATATACTTAACAGTAAAATTATCTTAATATCTTATTAATGCTCATAGTTGATGATTTTATGAGAATTGTTATTGCTATGAATGCACATTTTATTAAGCAAAATTCATTTCTTTTATTTTGTGTGGTTTATAGATTGTATTGTATTGTGGTATTTCTGATTTGTTTATGTATATGTAGATCCAGTTGGTTCAGCCGGGTCAGATTCAGTTGCAGGGAGGTCAAACTCTGCAGCTGCAGGGTCAGCAGGGTCAGGCTCAACAGATCATCATACAGCAGCCTCAGACTGCCATTACTGCGGGCCAGAACCAGGTTTCAAACATACTCTATTCTCTTCTCTGTTCAGTTGGACTAAACTTGGATTTGGAAATATTATGGATTTTCATGCCCAGAAAAATAAATAGGGAGAATGCTGCCCTATTAACTATAATGACCATAGTTTGTGCAGCTGATAAGGCAGATTTTATTACTTCACACAGGTTTTGTTGTATGGACTATATAAATGAATGTGTTGTGTTTCACAGGGGCAGCAGATTACACTTCAGGGACAGCAGGTTGCCCAAACAGCTGAAGGACAGACTATAGTATACCAGCCCGTGAATGCTGATGGCACAGTTCTGCAGCAGGGTATTTAAATACATACAATATCTACACCTGGTTTATCTGTCTTCTATCAATGTACATTAAATCTGGCATGAACAACATTATATGGATGATCAATCACGGTTTGACAAGCATGATTATACCTTTCTACACACTTGTACTGAAGGTTATTCAGGTTAGAACTATTTGTTCTTTCCCCTCCATAGGCATGATCACCATCCCAGCAGGCACCCTGGCAGGCACTCAGATTGTCCAGGCAGCAGGGGCTGCTAACACCTCCACAGCCAACAGCGGGCAGGGCACAGTCACCGTTACCCTGCCAGTATCTGGAAACATGGTGAACGCTGGGGGAATGGTCATGGTAAGACCTCCTGATGAGGTATCTAACAAACTTAAACCATCCCCTTAATTAATCATCAGATGTGTGGGGGTGTGCATGCAGTGTTGAGTCTCAATCACCTTGGTTTTGGGCTTGCCTTTTCACATGCAGAAATACAAGTGATTTTACCTTAAAGGAATTGTTCACCCAAATGTTTTTCCAAACATTTAAGTAATTTTCTCTCTCTCTCTCTCTCTCTCTCTCTCTCGATGTATATATATATATATATATATATATATATATATATATATATACTGTATATAATCTGATATTTTCTATTTTAATTTATTTCAGTTACAGTTACAAAGAAAACGATCTGGGAATCTGGTCTGTCAAGTTTTAAAATGACAAAAAAAGTACCATAAGAGTATCAAAAAATTTAAGTAATTCACTCAAACTCAAAACTGACACCCTTAGGTAAAATGATATCAATTTGATTTGAACAGTCATCATAGATGATTTTGTTTCAGATTAACTGATGATGCTGTGGCAAGTTTGAATATGCAGAAGTGGGAATGAGATATGAGAGGTACAGAGGAGGGGACGTTTATTGGTGATTTACATTATCTCAAAAAGCTATTTTATGACTTAAAAATATTATTTGAATTGAAATATCATGCCATATTTTCAAATATGAATTCAAACTGGCCACTTGTATGACATTAATGGTGAATGGTGCTTTCTGTCATTTGTCACCCTAGATCCCTGATTTCACTTTCATTACATGAAGAAAGTGACTAGGATTCTTTCTTTTTGTGTGTGTGTGTGTGTCTAATGAAATAAAGTCATACAGGTTTTGAATAACATGAGGGTGTAAATAATGAGAGAATATATATGGAAACTATTCTTTTAATATATAGTATTCAGTGTCTTAAAAAAATCCTAGTTTCACGAATCTTACTAGAATTTGATGATTTACTCAGAAGCAAGTGGACAGTGGTGACCTCCATCCTCCTTGTGTTAATGGCTGCTGAAATTCAACTTTGCGATCACAGGAATAAATACAATTAAAATATAAAACACTTATTCTGAATTATAATAATATTTAATTGTATTTATATATCATAGTTTTGATCAAAGAAATGCAGACTTGATGAGCACAAGACACTTTCAAAAACATTAAAACTTGAACCATAGGGTAAACTGTGTATTTTGATGCATATTCCTGTTCATCAAGTCTTGTCAAGTCATTTTTATTTTATTTAACGTTAAACAGTTCTATAGAACAAGAAGTTTAAATAGCTGCCCTTCTCGGAAATCCATGAGGTGACAGCTTGCTTTCTCTTGGTTATTCAGTGCTTTTCTTGATGCTATAAATCATGGTGTCCCAACCCTAGTGAAAACGCTTGTGTGTGAAATGTGTTTAGAGGTACTGAGTGAAGCATATCTGAATTAGGTGTGAAGGTAATGATTGACCCTCTTCCTCTTCCGTTCCCCTGCAGGAGCAACAGGACCAGAACCAGACCGGAGACGAGGCCGTGGCCCAGATGATCCGGGTGTCATAGCACTAGAATTTCTGCTGTGTTTTTTTAAGTGACTCTGAAGGCCCAAATTTTCACCATTGTGAATCATTGTCTCCAACGCAACACTAACACTCAGTCCTAATTCATCATGCCCTGTGTTCCTCCTGTCTCATGTCTTCCACTAAAATGAGGGGCCCATCTGTTTTCTCTCTGTGGTCTTGTATTTCTCCAGAGGACACACATAGAGCCATTACTGTTAATGTACAGCTTAATTTAAAAAGCAATTAAATAGCAAAGCGTAAATTAACCCACAGAGAGAAAGAGAAAACGCAGTTAGTAATGAGGTGGCAGTAGAACAAACAAGAATTTTGAATGAATTGAGTGAAGACCAAGGCGAGCTGTTTGATTTTCTACTTTTTTAGCATTATGGACAGTTCTTGTCAGGTTTATGAACTTATAAGTGGGAAGTTACATGGAAATGACGTAGGTTTATCTCTTACCATCTAATTGTGGTGTTGTTCAGCGTATTGTAGATGTTTGGCATGG